TCTGAGAATGATTCTGTCTGGTTATGGCGTTTAGCGCATTGTAAACTGAATCTTGTCTTTGTTGTCCGCCAACTACAATTTTGACCACTTTGCTGAATTTAAATTTTTTAAGGAAGGATTCCACTAAGGGGATGTCTTGGGATCGCGTTGAGATAAACACGGAGTTGACGAATTTAGAATGTTCAAATGCAAGTAATGAGTAGTAAACAATGGGTTTGTTTTTGAGTTTTAAGAATATTTTATTTGATTGCGTAGGTAAGTTCATTCTTCTGCTGTTACCTCCGCAAACTAATATGGCTTGAATGCTCATGATTTGGATTTACAGGATTAGCATTGAATCACCATAACTTAAAAATTTGTAGCCTTTTTTCAGAGCTTCTTCATACGCTTGCATGGTTAAATCGTAGCCTGCAAAAGCGCATGTGAGGATGAGCATCATTGATTTTGGATGGTGGAAATTAGTAATTAGGCAATCAGTTACTTTGAAGTGGTAGGAAGGGAAAATGAATTTGTTTATCCACGAATCTCCGAATTTTATCTTTCCGTCAATGGTGTTGTAAGCTTCCAGCACACGGCACACTGTAGTTCCAATAGAAAATATTTTCCCTTCATTTTTAGATTTAATATGGCTTACAATTTGAGCTGTTTGGTGTGGTATGGAGCAAAATTCTGCATCCAGTTTGTATTTGGCAATGTCATTGACATCCACTTCTTTGTAAGTTGTGAACCCTGAGTGTAATGTTATGGACGGGAAATAAACGCCGATTTTGGTTAGTTTTTTAACCAACTCGGGAGTAAAATGTAAACCCGCAGAGGGTACAGCAACGGCACCAGGCACTTCTGCAAAGACAGTTTGATATGTATCTTTTTCATTTGCTAAACCTTTTAAATAAGGGGGTAGGGGTAATAACCCAATTCGTTCGACAATAGAAGCTATATCGAGTTTTGGATTTAGAAAGCGAATTGTTCTTCCTCTGGATGTTGTGTTGTCGACAATTTCTGCGCATAGGTCTTCTTCAAAATAAACTTTATTTCCTACACGAACTTTTCTGGCAGGGTCAACAAAAACATCCCATAATCCACTCGCTTTACTCAATTCACGTAAAAGAAAAATTTCAATTTTTGCATCGGTTTTTTCTTTTTTACCAATAAGTCTTGCAGGAAATACTTTTGTGTTGTTATTTACCAACGCATCTCCTTTTGAGACATAATCGACAATATCACTGAATTTTCTATGTTTAATTGTTTTTGAATTACGGTCGATTACCATAAGACGACTAGAGTCCCTTGGTGTTTTTAATTTTCGTGAAATTGCTGATTGTGGGAGTTCGTACTCAAAATCTTTAAGTCGCATAATTTTTTTTTTATTTGTCAGTTTAAGTTGCAAATTTACAAAACGATACTAAAATGAACCATAAAACTATTGTCGTGGGAGGTGGAATAGTTGGATTATCAATAGCTTGGGAACTTGTACGTTCAAATCAAACAGAAGTTTTTCTTTACGAAAAGAAGCAAGTGGGTTCTCAGGCAAGTTGGACGGCAGGTGGAATGCTCGCACCTATTTCAGAACTTGGATTTCAAGAAGATGATATTTTTGAATTTGGCAGAGCGAATCTTTTTGTTTATAAAGAATATCTTCATAGAGTGAGTATAGATGCAAATCTTCAATTACCCCTTGAACTTGACCCAAATGGTGCTTTAATTGTTGCAACACGACGAGATGATAAGGATGTTTTAATTCGTCAGTTTGAATTTTATAAGAAGAGAAATCTAAATGTTCAATGGTTGCAAACAAATGAACTTCGGGAGAAAGAGCATTTACTTTCCCCTACTGTTTATGGTGGAATTTATATTCCAGAAGATACACAAATCGAAAACAGAGAACTTTGCCTTGCTCTTAAGCAAGCCTTTCTTAATTGCGGCGGAAATTTAGTAGAACATGCCGCGGTTTATTCTCTTTACGTTGAAGATTCGATGTGCCGTGGGATTACGCTTGATTCTAATAGAAATGTTCTTGCTGACGGAGTTGTGGTGGCAACAGGATCTTGGGCGAATTATCTTAAAGATATGAAAATACGACCTGTTAAGGGACAGTTGCTTATCTTAGAAATGAAAGAAAAATTGACTCACGTGGTTCGCTCTCCGCGAATTTATTTGTCACCTAAATCAAATAATACATTAAAAGTGGGCGCTACTTCAGAAGAAGTGGGTTTTGAAAATTATCCAACCGCAGGTGGGATGTTGGATTTGCTAAAATATGCATGGGAGACAGCCCCATGTATATATGATTATAAATTTTTAGAGGTTACAACTAATTTTAGGCCAACATCGTATAGTGGGTTTCCGATAATCGGGCAGGATAAAATAAGAAATCTTTTTTGGGCTGTGGGACATTATAGAAATGGAATTTTATTCGCACCTCTCACAGCGCGAGCTATATCCGATTTAATATTATATAATGATACTAAAGTTGATATTTCTAAATTTAACCCATCACAATATAATGATAATTCTATTTAACGGTAAAGAATTACAAGTCGAGGAAGGGGTGACCATCCGCAGTCTATTAATATTGATAAATGCTCCACTCAAAGGGGTCGCTGTCGCAAAAAATAATGAGGTCGTGCCGAAGACAATTTGGCACGACACCGTATTAAAGAATAATGATGTGGTAGAGGTTATTTATGCAGTACAAGGCGGTTAATTGGATAATCCTTACTCTTAATTTGAATAATTCGTAATTTCTGGATTGGTGGGCTTGCTTCCGAAGTAGAATTGGTTTAATAATGAAAGATAGAAATTTAAGTGTAAAAAGGGAGACATATCCCAAAACAGATAAAGTGTTTCACTTTGTACTCAAAAGTGATTTAGCGGATATTGAGAAATTGTCTGAATTAGTATGTGAAATTGCTGATTATTTACAGCTAGATAAAAAAGAGATCTATGACCTGCACTTGGTTATGGTAGAAGCTGTAACGAATGCAATTGTGCACGGAAATAAATTGGATGGCGAAAAAAGCGTTCATGTTACCTGTAGAATAACAGAAGACGGTTTGCTTTTAGAAGTAGAAGACCAGGGAAATGGATTTGACCCAACCGTAATTCCTAGCCCGTTAGACGCTGAGAACTTACTTAAAGTAACGGGAAGGGGCATTTTTTTAATGAAGCAAATAGCACAGAACGTATCTTACAGATTCTCTACGCACGGAACCGCTCTTCAAATAGTTCTGAACCGCAAAAAAAAGCAAAACCAAACCGAATAACCGATTTATTACCTTATAACCATCCTTATTTTACTTCTTTATGTACAGTCCTACGTCTCAAACTAGGGTTATATTTTTTTATTTCCAACCTTTCAGTGTTATTGTGCCTGTTTTTTTCTGTCGTGTAACGAGAGGGCGATTTATTTTCCTTTCTCGCCTCTGTACATTCAACAGTTACTGTGATTCTGTTGCCTTTTGATTTTGCCATGTCGGTAAACTAATAGGTTTAATTATTTAACTTTTTATTACATTGACAAAGGGTATAGTGTAGATGAAGATCTTGTATCAATCGCTTGGTTTGCTAAAAAATCGCATCTTTCGTTTAATTTATCACCCGCATGTCCCTTAATCTTTACGAATGAAACTTCATGTTGACTTACCAATGTGTCAAGCCTTTCCCACAAATCTCTGTTCTTAACGTCTTTTTTTTCAGTTGTTTTCCATCTATTTTTTTTCCACTTCGTAATCCACCTTTTTGTATACGCATAGCACAAGTAAGTTGAATCAGAAAAAAGAGTCACTTGAGACGGTTCCGTAAGAACTGATAAGGCGGAAATTGCTGCTACTAACTCCATACGATTATTTGTAGTGATGTTTTCGAAACCATAACATTCAGACTCAATGCCGTCACCTGTTATGACAAATGCCCACGCACCTTTGCCTGGATTTCCCTTACAGGCACCGTCTGTGTAAATAGTAACTTTCTTCAAACTAAGACGTTCCTTTAACTTTCAAAATTCTTTCTAATTCACCCGTACCATTCTTTGTAATAATTTTAATTGCTTTAGTAGATAAGCGAACTTTGACCCACTTACCTTCATTTTCTAACCAAATGCGTTTATTTTGCAAATTGGGTTCGCGACGCGTTCGTTTATGATTATTTGCATGCGAAACAGTGTTTCCGTACTGGTGCGATTTTCCTGTGAGAATACAAACTTTTGACATGAAAATTTTATTTAACTGTTGAAAATGAAACTATGCTGAAAAAGAAGACCCACAGCCACATGTTTTTTTAGCATTAGGATTACTAAAAACAAACCCTCTGCCATTTAACCCATCTTGAAAATCCAAAACAATACCTGATAAATACATTAAATGCTTTTTATCTATCAATACGTCTAAACCCTCCGTTTGCACGACAATATCACTTTCTTTTGGATTGTCAAATGATAATGAATAACTCAGTCCAGAGCAACCTCCGCCCGTAACACCGACCCTCAACCTTTGGTCGTTTGGAATGTTATTCTGAACCATTAGCTTGTTAATTTCTTTGGCGGCGCTTGGCGTTAATGATACCTCGGTGCTTGTTAATAATTCTTCTGGCATTAGATACCTCCTTTTATATAATTTTTAAGATTTTTATTTTAAGACTTCAGAAAATTAATTTTCGTGAATTTTATATTTCATGTTTCATGCAAATCATACATAAGTAAGTAAACTACTCACTGTAAAGATACAGAGAAAAAATAAATCGTTAATAACAATTTTAGATTAGAATACAGTTTAAGACGGATACGTAAAATGCTTGAATGTCTTGTGCCTTCTTGTTTAATTGCGAACTAGTAAAATTAAAGATATGAACGTGTTTTTCTAATTTCAGACATCTAATGCGAAAAAGCAAAATAATTTTATTTTTTTTCCAATAATTTTTTAACTTTGCAATTCTTTGAATGAATCCGTTGTTTTGCAAATGTGAGGTGCAGTGCGCTCTGCTTGGGTCGTGTGTGTTTTACGTCTGCTGATGTAGCTCAGTTGGTAGAGCAGTTGTTTTGTAAACAACTGGTCGGGGGTTCGAGTCCCTCCATCAGCTCGGAAATGCAGAGGGTGTTATTTTTGAACCGATGCGTAGCGCCAGACGAATTTAGAATGATGAGGAAATAGGAAAGGTACAATGAGGTGGGGTATATAAGGAATTTGTGATTTGAGCGGGTTTCATTTGTAGATGTATCGAAGGGCAAGTAGCGACTAAGTATGGGTAGGTAGCGAAGCGGTCAAACGCATCAGACTGTAAATCTGACGGCTCAGCCTTCGGAGGTTCGAATCCTCCCCTGCCCACGTAGTGCTGATGTAGCTCAGTTGGTAGAGCACTTCCTTGGTAAGGAAGAGGTCACCAGTTCAATCCTGGTCATCAGCTCATGGTGGTTGTTAAGGGTTGTGGCTATGCTTGAGGTGAGAGTTATACAGGTGTATTAAGTTATGCGTCAGTAGCTCAATTGGTAGAGTAGCGGTCTCCAAAACCGCCGGTTGGGGGTTCGAGTCCCTCCTGACGTGCAGGTTTAAGTGTGTTTTTTCGTTATTGGGATTTTAAGTTGTATTGCAATGAATTAATTTTTTTAGAGATGGCAAGTAGTGAAGATCGTAAGGTAGTTGGTTTTGGTTCTCGGATAAGGAATTATTTTAGCGAGGTTTTTGTTGAAATGAAAAAAGTTTCTTGGCCAACGAATGAGGAGTTGCGAGAGTCAACGGTTGTTGTTTTGACGGTAACTGGGATTTTAGCTGCGTTTACGTTTGCTATTGATTTTTTAATTGGTGAGGTTATTAAAGAATTGTTCAAGTAAATTGGAGGATGTAATATAGTGGAAAGTGATAAGATGATAAGCAAAGTGAGTGAGGGTGGTTCTATGGAGATGCATGAAAAGAAATGGTTTGCGGTGCGGACATTTTCTGGTCATGAAAGGAAGGTAAAGGAATACTTAGACAAAAAGATTGAGTCGATGGGCATTTCTGACAAGATGTCGCCTGTTTACATTCCTTACGAAAAATTTGTTGAAATTAAGGATGGTAAAAAGAAGAATAGGGTAAAGAATGCCTTTCCTGGTTATGTGTTAGTGGAGGCATATTTGGATAACCAAACAAGGTCAATTGTTGCGGAGGCACCTTCAGTAGTGGGTTTTTTGGGGGCAGAGAAAGCGGGTATGCCGATTCCGTTGAGGTACGAGGAGGTAGAGAGATTGTTCGATCCACAGAAAGATGAGTCTGTTCCTAATGTTCGGTCTCCATTTGACGTGGGTGTTTCGGTTAAGGTTGTGGAGGGTCCCTTTGGATCCTTGGTTGGTGTAGTTCAGGAGGTTTATCTTGAAAAATTGAAGTTGAAGATATTGATTAATTTTTTTGGGAGAAGTACTCCTGTTGAGGTGGATTTTTCTCATGTCAAACTTGTTACGGATTAAAATTTACAATTAAATTAATAATGGCTAAGAAAGTTACAGGTTTTATTAAGTTACAGATTCCAGCCGGCGGTGCGACTCCGGCACCTCCTGTGGGTCCTGCTTTGGGTCAGAAGCAGGTAAATATAATGGAATTTTGTAAGCAATTTAATGCTAAAACGCAGGGGCAGGCGGGTGTGATTACGCCTGTTGTGATTACAGTGTATTCGGATAAGAGTTTTACCTTTATTACGAAGACACCGCCAGCGTCGATTTTGTTGTTGAGAGAGGCAAAAATAGAAAAGGGTTCAGCAGTTCCCAATAAGACGAAAGTGGGGAAAGTGTCGCGTGAGCAGGTCAGAAAGATTGCGGAAATGAAGATGCCCGATCTCACAGCGGGTTCAATTTTGGCGGCTGAACGTACCATTGAAGGGACCGCGCTAAGTATGGGAATTGTTGTGGAGTAGAACGTTGTATTTGGCTTGTTATATGTATATGGCGTGTGAGGGCGTGGGAGATTATGAAATCGTTATTAACCACAATTTTAAGTTTCAAGTATGTCAAAGGTAGGAAAAAAATATTCGTCGGTTTTAGAAAAGATCGATAAGAAAAAATTGTATGATCTGACATCTGCCATTTCAAAGTTGAAAGAGATAAATTACGTGAAATTTGATTCGACTGTTGAGATAGCAATCAGGTTAAGTGTGGATCCGAAAAAAGCAGATCAATTGGTTCGTGGAACTGTTGTACTACCTGCGGGAACGGGGAAGGTAGTTCGCGTATTGGTTTTATGTAAAGAAAATAAAGTTGCAGAAGCGACACATGCTGGAGCGGATTTTGTTGGGTTAGCCGAATATATTGAAAAGATTCAGGGTGGATGGTCGGATGTTGATGTGATTGTTGCTACACCCGATGTTATGGTTGAGGTGGGAAAAGTTGGGAAGATGCTGGGTCCGAAAAAATTGATGCCAAATCCCAAGTCGGGAACTGTAACAAATGATGTTGTAAAGGCAGTTCATGAATTGAAATCTGGAAAAATAGAGTATAGGGTTGATAAAGGCGGAGTTATTCATGTGGGTGTTGGTAAGTTATCTTTTGAAAATGCAAAGTTAGAGCAAAATTTAAGGTCTTTATTTCAGGCTGTAATGAAGTCTAAGCCTGCTTCCGCTAAAGGTCAGTACGTAAAAAGTATTTTTTTGTCTTCAACGATGTCCCCAAGTTTGAAAATACAGCGAGATGAAATGGTTGGGATATAATAAAAAGATGGTTTGTTGTGGGTACTTAGAAAGGTGTTTGAAAAATAGTTAATAATTTTATGTTAAAAGCAAAAAAGTTAGAGATCATTGAGAAAGTGGCTGAGCAGCTGAAGAATGCGAAAGGTGTTTATTTGGTTGATTTTCATGGCGTCAACGTGGAGGATGATGTAAAATTAAGGAATGAATTAAAGAAATTAAGTGGTGTCAATTATTCTGTCGTTAAGAATGCTCTGATAAAGAAGGCTATTGAGCGATCTGGCGTTGGGTCTTCGTTAATTGGTGATTTGGAAAATGCAACAGGTGTTGTGTTTAGTAATGAAGATTCTATTACTCCTGGAAAGACTTTAAAAAAGTTAATTCAAGATAATGAAAAGTTAGAGTTTAAGTCGGCGATTGTAGAGGGGACATATTTTGGTAAAGGAAATTTGGACTTGATTGCGTCTATGGCAAGCAGAGAGGAAAATCTTTCTAAAGTTGGGGGGTTAGTAAGGCAGGTTGTTGCTGGAACTCCGAAGATAGTAAATTCGCTTATGTTTAGTTTGATTTATGTTATTCAAGAAGGTTCTAAAAAACGAGCAGCATAGGGATTATTTTTTGATATTACGCACTCTTTTGATTAAATGTTGATTATAAATATAAAACGTAAATAATTAGAAATGGCATCAGTAGAAAATTTGGTGGAGGAGATATCTAAGCTTACTTTGACAGAGGCTTCGGAATTGGTAAAAGCATTAGAAGAGAAATTTGGAGTTTCAGCCGCTGCGCCCGTTATGACAGGTGGTCCTGTAGGAGTAGCGCCGGGAGGTATTGCAGCCCCAGTGGAAGAGAAAACAGAGTTCGATGTGATTTTAAAAGAAAGTGGGTCGAACAAAATTAACGTGATTAAGGTTGTTAGAGCTGCAACGGGATTGGGGTTAAAAGAGGCAAAGGATTTGGTTGAAGGTGCACCAAAACCTGTGAAAGAAGCACTGTCTAAGGCTGACGCTGATAAATTAGCAGCAGAACTTAAAGAAGTTGGTGCGACAGTCGAGATTAAGTAAGGCTCTAAACGCTTCTTATTTTATGTTGATAGTATTCTATTAGCATTTTGTCGGATGTGCAAAATTACGAGGTGTGAGCAAGAGAAAGTGCTTTTGTGCTTCTCTTGTTCATGTTCGTGTAGTTACTCAAACTGTCGTATTAAGATTTAGTTGAATAGCGTAGATTGAATAGTAAAGAGTTTAAGAAATGCTTCAATGGTGTGTCCGTGCTTCCGATGAGCAAGTTATGTGTCGGATGTAGTGTGGGTTTTGGTAAAGTTTTACAAAGATAGTAAACCGTTAAATACTGATAGGTAACAAATGCAAGCTACTCAAAATATAAAGAAAGGAAAGCGAGTTTCTTTTTCAAAGATTTCTAAAATTTTAGAGCCTCCTGACTTATTAAAGGTGCAGTTGGATTCTTATAGAAGTTTTTTACAGGAAAATAGCACTCCTGAAGAGCGTGACAATAAGGGATTGGAAAATATTTTGAGGAGTGCTTTTCCGGTTACTGATTCAAAGGAAATGTTTTTGGTAGAGTATATTTCGTATTCAATAGAGAAGCCGAGATATTCTATTGAAGAGTGTATTGAAAGAGGGTTAACGTACGATGTAACACTCAAGGTTAAGTTGCGGTTGTCCTTTAAGGACGAGGTTGAGGATAAGCTTTGGAAGTCGACAATAGAGGAAGATGTATATTTTGGTAAGATTCCCTACATTACAGAAAGAGCAACGTTTATTATCAATGGAGCGGAGCGTGTTGTTGTATCGCAGTTACATAGATCACCTGGCGTAGTGTTTAGTGTTGTGCAACATCCAAATGGAAAGAAAATGTATCATGCGAAAATAGTTCCTTTGCGTGGTTCTTGGATTGAGTTTCAAACAGGAATAAATAATTTGCTCTATGTATATGTAGATAAAAAGAAAAAGTTCTTAGTAACTACTCTCCTTCGTGCAATTGGATTTACAAAGAATGAAGATATTTTAGCAGCGTTCGAGTTATTAGAAGAGATAGATGTTAACCCTGCGATAAATGAGGACTATATTGGAAGATATTTGGCATCGGATATTATTAATCAAGAAACGGGAGAGGTGATACCTACTGGGACTCAAATATCTGAGAAGAACTGGGAATCTATTGTTGATTCTGGGGTTAAGAGAGTAAAAATAAATAAAAATTATACACCGAGTGGTTTGGATGCTTCTATTATCGTAAATACTCTTTCGTCTGACGAAAGTAAAACAGAAGAGGATGCTTTGATCCAAATATACCATGAATTACGAACAACAGAAGCTCCGGATGTAGAGACAGCTAGAAGTTTAGTAGATAGAACATTTTTTAACCCGCGTCGCTATGATCTTGGTGAGGTAGGTCGCTACAGGATTAATAAAAAGTTAGTTTCTGAATTAAGTGAATTTGAAAACGTCAAGATTAAGAATCCAAATTTGACTTCAAAGATTAGCGAGTTTAGAGAGCGTTTATCAAAAATTAATTTTTCTGATTTTCAAGATATTTCTTTGGTTACCGTGCTAAAAACCGAGGTGATTACTGTTTTAACGCATGAGGACATTATTAGTATTTTAACGTACATGTTGAAATTGATGAATGGTTTGAATGAGTTTGATGATATCGATCATTTATCGAATAGAAGAGTGAGAACGGTAGGAGAGCAAATTGGGGGGCAATTTTTGATTGGTGTGACGAGAATGGCAAAAGTACTTCGAGAGAGATTAAATTCAAGGGATACAGAGATGATCAAGCCGTCGGACTTAGTTAATGCGAGAACGATTACGAGTGTTATATCTACTTTTTTTGGAACGAGTCAACTTTCTCAGTTTATGGATCAGAC